AAAAGCTCGGGTCTCAGGAGGTTAAATACATTTTTAATAATTGGGTCGATTTGGAAACTGCGCTGACTTTGTCGCGTTTTGTGTGGCCTCGGCTTTATTGTGACTTTGAGTCTGACCCCAGGTTGAGAACCACTGGTTTAGACCATGTGGACTGTTTACAACCTGTCTGATCATCTGACAGCATTTCTTTGCCCATCAGACCCCACAACCTCAGCAATTACTTTGGCGATCACAATGTTAGCATAAACGATACAACTGATGTGAAAACTACAAAAATAAGACCCACGTTGTAATTAACTGGAATGATCCTTTAATGATATAACTGATTACACTCCATCAAAACAGACTTAGATTGATATGGAGGATTAACCTTCTACTGAAAATCGGATATGGTTTTTCACCTGTCCTCCACTAATGAGGGGAGACTCTCGAGTGATTAGAAACTAGGTTTGTCTGACAGAATAGCACTGGCCCTGGTGAGCTAATCTGCTACACATGTTCTTAGTCAGCAGATCAGACTGTGGGAGCTATTATTGTTAACTTATTACACAGATCACCATTGGATCGCCATTTCATAAAAACATTTAAAATGGTACACTGTGAATTGGTAAATGGACCTGTACTTGTAAAGCGCCTTTCTAGTCTTCCGACCACTCAAGAGCTTTTACTATACATGCCACATTCATACAGTAATGGCAAAACTAACATAGTCATCCACATTCATACGCCAATACACAGCATCAGAAGCACTTTGGGGTTTAGTATCTTGGTCAAGGACACTTCGACATGCAGCAGGAGGAGCTAGGGATCGAACCTCTAACCTTCTGATTGGTGGATGACCCACTCTACCTCCTCCTAATTTTACTAAATTGGCATTAAATTGGAGATCCTTTTTACAAAATATGATGAAATACGACTTGCATGTTTGCATATTCATGAAGGGTAAAGTAATATTTTGACAGGGGTTTGGTAGCTATCAATGCTTACTCTGCCTCGGTTTGTTTCTTTCATAATCTTTGCTTTTACAAGAGGTTTGCTAATTAAAACAGAGACGAAGCAGTGCTTTGTTAAAATAAACAGAAGCAAAAGTAGAGCAGCAACAGTTAATACAAATGTAAATATCTGTTTTTGCAAATGAACTCTTTATCCGTTCTGTTACAGCTGATGTTGCTGTTGATTGTCACGTTCATTTTCTAATGATGGTTGTTAGCCGAGCCCTGCTTTCAGGCTGAATTTGTGAATCTTTCTTGATACTAGACATTGCATAATCTTCTATGCAGCACTCTCTTCTGTAGTTAGGGCACAGACAGTCCACGTACACTCTGAATTCTGATCCTACTGGTATTCAGTATATGCAGTATGATTTTGTATAAGTGGCTGACATCAGTAAAAGCCTCCAGGAAACCTGAGTGCACAGCTGTCAGCACAGAGGTAGCGCAGCAGCAGAGCTGAGCCTACACACACTTCAGGGAAGGCCTTTAAAACCATATGATTCTGAACTTTGACCCTAATAATAATAATAATAATGATAATAATAATAATATTGTTGGTGATTTTCGTTCAACTTGAGGGTCAGTATGTTATTTTTAAAATAAAATCAAAAGGGGAAAAAAGGCTATAATAATCAGGCCATAATTAAATGTTATGAAAAAAAATGAATTTGATTCTGAAATGATAAATTGATATTGTCAAATGGCGTTTTGAAAATTAAAAGTACAATTTCACAAAAAACAAGCTTAATTGATCATTAATAAATTATTCAGTATTATATGTACAATATATACAACAAAGAACTCCTGTACCGTGTTTTAATATTATTTTATTATATATAATAAATATAATAATAATAATAATAAATGAGGGTGAAACAGGCAGTAAAGGATTCTGTGAATGATTATCACAGAAAGAATTTCATTCTGTCTCTGTGTCGTCTTCAGCTACAGATACTTTTCTTCATCCAACTGAGAAAGACACTGAACCCGCTCATCTCTGTGGTATTGGACTCAGCTGCCCGGTGATGATTTACTCAGGAACTGATTCTAGGCTGGGTGCTGGCTGCTGGCTCCTCTGGTTCCTTCAAGCCAATGTTGGCAGGAGGTTGAGGGGTTGGTAAGAGGGGTGCAGGTGGATGAGACTGCAGAGACTGGCTGTTCCTCTGGTTCATCCAGCCCATTGTGCAAGCCGGCAGCAGAGTCTGGTTCTGGGCTGGTGTAGGCCTGCTGTGCTGGTTTATTCAAGTCACTGCTAACAAGAAATGTCACAGTAAGGGTCAGAGAAGCTGGTAGAGGGGAAACGACAGAAGAGTCTGGTCTAGAGGAGGACAGTGAACCAACCAGAGAACCAGTCTCCTTATCCACAAATTCAACATGCGTGGTCATGGCCTCACATCACATGCATTTTTTTCAGGAATATCTCTGTAAGTCTGATGTGCAATTAACACACAGATCTCGCCTACTGTGACATCAGTGATGCCAATTCACTGGGATGGCTTGGGGGTAACCCTGTCTAACTTTTTTTCTGATTGGCAAGACCATATTGTCACTGATGGAGCAGGTGTAGCACATGGAACCAATCTGACAGCATGCAATCAAGTTGCAGGAGAGAACTATGAACAACTAATGTTACATTACTGAGTTGCAAAAAAATAATCATTTGAAAAGATAATTTCATTTGAGTACACACAGGCTCTGTTTTAGCCATTGTACAGCAATGTTCTGTTTAAACAGAAGAGAGTACTTTGATGTACGAGTCGGGGATGAGACTGTAAGGTAGTAGACCTCCATAAACAAGTATGAACCTGAAAATGAGCATGAATATTTTAATAATAGGGCCTTTTTCATATACACTGATCCACTATAACATTGTGAGCACTGACAGGTGAAGTGAATAACACTGAATATCTGGTTATCATGGCTCCTGTCAGTGGGTGGGATATATTAGGCAGCAATACATTTTGTCCTCAAGTTGAT